TCACCCACCAATATCACTCTATAGACTCCAACTACCAAGCAACATATGTTGATTGTGAGGAGGGCAAGCATTGGAACTATAAAGATATTCGATGCTCGGAAGTCGTATTTGTCAAGAATTCTTGGCTTAATAATTTTCTCATTATTATTTCTCGTATATATAGAGGTTACAGGGCTATATTGGTAATTACACTAAATAATTACATTTTAATGAGAACAAGTCAATTTCTAATTTGTTTCCTTTATTCTAGAAACAAACCCTTATTCTAGGAACAAACCCTTATTCACATCCCCCCTCAAATTGATGCTGCTTGTCAATAAGCATCAATTTGCTAACAAGAAACTGATGACGTGGACGCGGAACAGCCTTGGTAAGAATATCTGCAATCTGCAACTGAGTACTGACATGAGGAAGTGATATGATTCGGTCATCATAAGCATCACGAATTGAGTGACAGTCAACTTCAATATGTTTGGTGCGTTCATGAAAAACAGGATTCGCAACAATTTGGATGGCACTTGTATTGTCAGCATAAAGCGAAGTTGGCTCTATTTGAGGAAATCCAAGTTCAGCCAAAAGACCACGAAGCCAAATTATTTCAGAACAAGCAGCAGACATGGCACGATACTCAGATTCAGTAGAAGATTTAGAGACTCTCGCTTGTTTCTTACTTTTCCATGAGATCAATGAAGAGCCAAGAAACATGCACCAACCAGTGACAGATCGTCGAGTATCAGGACACCCTGCCCAATCTGCATCACTATAAGCACTCAATTTAGGAGCAACTCCACTAGGAAAGAATAAACCACGATGAGAGCTTCCCTTCAAGTAACGAATTATACGACGAACTGCTGCCAAGTGAAGGTGGCGAGGAGAGTGCATGAATTGACTTACTTGTTGAACAGCAAACGATATGTCAGGGCGAGTAATAGTCAAGTAATTAAGGCTACCCACGAGTTGACGATACAATAAGGGATCAGGCAACAGATCACCATCATCACGATGATATTTAACATTAACCTCAAGCGGAGTATCCACTGGATTAGCCGATTGGAGACCAGCCATGGAAATTAAATCTGTGGCATACTTGTGTTGATGGAGGAATATGCCCTTGGATGTAGAATGAACCTCAAGACCAAGAAAATAATGCAAACTACCAAGATCTTTCATATGAAACGCTGCTTGTAACTGCTGTTTAAGGCTTTGAATGGAAGCATGATCAGAACCAGTAATAATCATATCATCAACATACAGAAGAAGTAGGACAATTCCAGTAGAAGTTCTATGAATAAATAGAGAAGAATCATACTGACTCTGAGTAAAGGAGAACCCAAGTAGAGTGGAGCGGAATTTTTCATACCATGCTCTAGGTGCTTGTTTCAAACCGTATAAGGAGCGTTTAAGCTTGCACACACCCTTAGATGATGAAAATAAACCTTGAGGAGGAGTCATATAAATGTCTTCCGCGAGGTCACCATGAAGAAAAGCATTTTTCACATCTAATTGATAAAGAGCCCACCCGTTAGAAGCAGCTATAGAGAGTACCGTACGAACGGATGTCATTTTAGCAACCGGTGCAAATGTCTCATCATAATCAATTCCATATTCCTGCTTGTTTCCTAAGGCAACCAAGCGAGCCTTGAAACGGTTGAGGGACCCATCCGAATTCAATTTCACAGAATACACCCATTTGCAGCCAATGGGTTTGACATCTGGAGGACAAGAGACAATATCCCATGTGAAATTCTCTTGAAGAGCTTGAAGTTCCTCATTCATTGCTTTTATCCAACGTACATCTTTAACAGCCTGTGAATAACAAGTAGGAATAGATATGCCAGAGAGGGTGGCAGTCAGAGAAGTATGTGCTGAATCATACCTGTCTGGTGAATATCTGTCTGGTGCTCGAGATATTCGAACAGAACGTCGTGGTTCAACCGTTACAGGATCAGGTGGCGGTTCAGCGTCGGGAAGGGGTGTGGGAACCTGCTGTTTGTGTTTTCTGACATATACATGACCTGGTTTATAACGCTCTATAGATTGAGGCATAATAGAGAACTTAGGAAGAGTAACAATATCATTCATGACAGGAGAAACACATGGAAACATAAACTGATTATCAAAAAATGTCACATTCCTAGAAATGCGAAAACGATGGTTAGTGACATCATAACACACAAATCCCTTATGTGAGTGACTATACCCCATAAACGCACATTGAACAGACTGTGCTCCAAGCTTATGTCTTTCAAATGGAGGTAAGTGCACAAAACAAACACATCCAAAAATATGTAAATCATTATAACTAGGCTGAATTTTAAAAAGGCGAAAGAAGGGAGAATCAAAATCAATAACCGTAGAAGGAAGACGATTGATCAAGAATACGGCTGTGGAAAGAGCCTCAACCCAAAATCGGGATGGCACAGAAGCTTGAAGAAGTAATGTGCGTGTTACATCAAGCAAATGACGATTCTTTCGCTCTGCCATCCCGTTTTGTTGAGGGGTATTGGGACAAGACCGTTGAGACAAGATCCCTTTTTGTTGAAGGTATTCCTGAAATGCATGAGACATATACTCACCTCCCGAGTCAGATCGAAAAATTTTAACACTTGCTTGAAATTGATTTTCAACATATGTCAAAAACTTCTGAAACATAGAAAACACTTCAGACTTAGATCTAAGAAAATATATCCAAGTAAAGCGGCTGTAATCATCAATAAATGTGACAAAATATTTATAGTGAGCATGAGATGTTGCAGGAGACATTCCCCACACATCACTATGAATCATCTCAAAACAAGTAGAAGCACGATGAGCGCCTGACGGAAAAGGGAGGATTTTACTTTTAGCCAATTTACAAACAGAACATGAAATAGGAGTAGTACACGCATGTTTATTTCCCAACAAACCAGTTTTAAATAAATGAGACAAAACAACAGAATTTGGATGGCCTAATTTTCTATGCCAATCCTCATAAGAGTTCAAAACAGTATTACATGCAAAGGATAAATGACTAGAACTAAACTGGAGTGGAAACAATCTTCCCACTTTAGGCCCCTTCGCGATCACCTTTCCCGACACCTGCTCCTGCACAAGACAACCAACACGAGAAAAACTAACATTACAATTGTTATCCACCAATTGACCAACCGACAATAAGTTGGAAGCAAGTCCGGGTGATACAAGCACGTCACGAAAGTTTGAGTCTATGTCACCAACATCAGTGATAGAAAGTTTATTACCATCAGCAATTTGAATTTGCTGATTACCATTATAGGAATGTACATTTTGTAAGTATTTAGAGGAACCCGTCATGTGATTGGATGCACCAGAATCAAGAAACCATGATTGAGAATTATTAGAAGACTTACCCTGAATTCCCAAGGCTGAAAGAGCAGAAAGTACCATTTGGTGAATCATTTCAGGTTGTAGAACACTACCGGTACCAGTACTGAGAGGACCAACTTCAGAGTTGGTAGTGGCATGGAATGCTTGAGTTGGACGTTGTACTGGTCGGGGAGGACGTGTGGGACAGTCAGAGATGATATGACCCTGTTGTTTGCAATAGTTGCAAAACTTCTTACTGCAATTGCGAGCTACATGTCCAAATTGTTTGCAAGAAAAACATTGAACTTGTCGCATATCACGACCCTTTCCTCTACTTTGAGCAGCATATGCAATTGCCACAGGTTCGGAACTAACAGCATCATGAGACATGGTTCCTTGCGTAAGTAGACGTTGTTCCTCCCTTAGAAGTTCACCGACACAAGTATCCAAAGAAGGAACAGGATTCCTATTGAGCAAAGCGCCTCTAACAATCTCGAATTCTGGACGAAGTTTCATGAGAAATTGATCTCGCCTACTTGTGTCGTAGACCTCTTGAACAGCAGTGAGAGAGGTTTTGGGAACATTAGCATGTATAATAGCAGAGTGTTCTGTCCAGAGATTCAGAAAACCAGAATAGTATTCTTGAATAGGTAGGTCACCTTGTTTGTAGTTGGCTATGTCTAGCTCCAATTGAAAACGTTTTGCCGAATTGTCCTGGTTGTAAATGCGCTTAAGATAATTCCATATTTCTTGAGCAGTTGAAAAGGAGCGCAAATTATTTATCATCTGAGGATCAATACTATTGAGAATCCAAGTGATGATTTGAGCATCTTGAGTTTCCCATACATCTGAAGCAGTTTTATCTGTCGGGGCCTTAGAAACACCATCTAAGTGACTCCATAATCCCTTTCCTCTAACATACATCTTGAATTGAAATTCCCAAGCCGAATAATTCTTGCCGGTGAAACGAACACAGAAGTTATCTCTTTCTTTTTCGGAAGCCATTGAAATTATGTTGTAATTAGATTCAACCTCACTATTGATGTATTACTATAATAATTATTATTATTATAATACTTATTATTATTATAATAACAACCTGCAACCAAAAGGAACAAAGCTCGTGCAGTACCACCAATATATCCCAAGAACAGTACCACTCGTGAAGCCGTAACAATTCCAATGTTTCAATTTGGAATTAGCGGCGGAACCAAATTATAACCACAAACCACAAACCAAATTAAAACAAAATTATAACCACGAAAAACAAACCGGTCACGACCTAGAATCAATATTCGTGAAAGGAGGATCGCAAACAACCGAAGTAAGCCGAAGCCCTAAACCCAGAATCACGATGGCAGTCGACGCTAAACGAATTCCACGGGGAACGATCAAGAACCAGAAACGAAGAAACAACAAACTGAATTGATCAGGATGTTGTCACAGAACCAAGAGAAAAAAATCAGAACCAGAAAATCACAGGTTTGATCTACGAGGCTAATACCATGTCAAGAATTCTTGGCTTAATAATTTTCTCATTATTATTTCTCGTATATATAGAGGTTACAGGGCTATATTGGTAATTACACTAAATAATTACATTTTAATGAGAACAAGTCAATTTCTAATTTGTTTCCTTTATTCTAGAAACAAACCCTTATTCTAGGAACAAACCCTTATTCACAGTATTTATCGATTTGGTATAGCAGAGTTTGTTCATCATTCTCTGCTTTATTAGTAGGCAAGAAACTAGCTTCTCTTATACCAATTTTCTTCAGTAAAGCATCCAAACATCCATATAAATGGCAAGTAGTTGATTTCATCATCCAGATTCTTTGCTCATTGATCCACTTATGTAGTGCTCCCCCGGTTAAGAAGACTTCTAGTAAATGTTTTGAAAGAGATGATAGAAAGATGAATAAAAAGATAATGAAATATGGATCTGAAACCTGTCAGAATAAAGTAAGAAAAGATGATTTTAGGATAAAGAAAATAAGTGCAAGAATAAAAAATTGAATGGTGTGCAATTTACCTTAGGGTATAAGGGTATTCCGTTTAGTAGACAGAGCTGAGGGATGGTAGCGAAGCACCAAAGGGGCAAGCAATATAGAGGGAAATATGTGAGTTCTGCAAAACATAGACTCTGGAGTAGTGGCATCCTTAAAGGCCCATATATAAGGGGGCAAAACCTACTTATACCATTTTCAAACAAACCAGAGTACCATCTAGTGCCTTGGATTAGTACATCATTCAAATTTGTTGTAGCTGTACCAAGGAACTGTGGCCTAGACGGTTCACAGAAAACAGAAGTCCATCCGTTACAATGCAAGATAAATCCAGTAAAGAAGTCTTCTACGACACTATCGTATAAGAAACCTACCTGAAACAGTTCAAAATTATACATTTACTTTTTGTCTGTATAAATTTGATGTAGTAAAGTATCTCAGTTATAAAGTCTACTTACATCTTGTCCCCATTTAGTGCCAATTTCATATCTACTAGAAACCAACAAGTGAGGTTCTTCAAGCAATGTATTCTGACCTGACAATAAAACACTTGTGTCGTTTTGAGTAAGTGAGTTGATGAATTCATTAGATGAACCAAAATATTCTTGAAGTGGCAGCATATGAGTCCTTCCTAACATTTAAAACTCAATAGTAAAGTACATTGCCTCATAACCTACAGGCTATATTTATAAGAAACCTTGTTTTCAATACCTTCATTCGTGTGATTTCCGTACAGTGATACCCTTTTAATATAAAAGCCTGTACCTGACAACACAGGTCCCTTAAGGCCGTCCATGCCTTGCCATTGTAACTGAAATTGTTCAAATCATTTAGTTTAACACAGCAAAGGTTGCAGGACCACTACATTGGTATCGTAAAGGATCAGCTTTGACGTGCTTACCGTAAATAATGATCTCAGCTGACTGTCATAGATGTCATTCTTGCTAATGTTGTAAAATTTCTGAGGAAATTGAACAAAAGCTAAGGAAGATGATATCTTTGGATCAAGGTGAAAACACATGGCATATCGAGCTGAAGTTGGATCGTTGCAGAGCATGTCACAATCTAGAACTAGGATGTAGGGAGAATTACTCATCACAGCAGATACACGAAGCTGAAAGATTTTTATATAAGACTTGTCACATTCGTTATATTTGCTGAGTTTGTAAAGCAAGTCTTGTATATATAATTTGGAAGATAAATAAATAGTCGTACAACTTACAAGGGCGTTGAGGGCTCCAGCCTTGAAATGGTGCGGACTAAAAGGCTTTCTCTCTCGAGAAACATAGACAAGGAGAGGCATTTTGACATTGTCCACATCATCAATGATATTTTCTTGCATTACCTGCAAAATTCATATGATTTGTGTCTAATATAAAATGAACATGGCAGAAATTTAACACATATGAGTTGCACATGAGTTTAGAGAGATTTTTGTTGTCACAATTGTAATTTGTTGTCCCGTTAAGCCAACTCAGTTGGTAGCTATGCAGGGCCATCAGATGTAGGGGCGCAGGTTCGAACCTGCGACATACTATTTGTTCACCTTTAAAGAGTGAATTCCAGCCACAAGGCTACTTGACCAAAAAAAATTTGTATTTTGTTGAGATCACTAGAAAATTAGTAATTTATTGCTGTCTATAGTTGTTATTCTCTGGCTATGGGATATCAAGTCTCACACTGCGTATATTAAAGTAATCAAATTGATATATCAACAATAAAGTGCTATTATACCTCAATGACAGATGAGTGATCTCCAACAGTAATACTGTCTTTGGAAAAGGCCTTATCTTGTTGGAATGTCTGTATCTCTTCTTTAAAAGCCTCATACTTTCCCTGAAAATTGTTGATTTTTTCATCATAAAGCAATACTTCTATATACACTGCAATCTATAGAAATCCAATAATAGTCATATCATATTCAACCTTGATCTTTTGCTTATCTTCCATGTACACACTACTTCTGGCAAAATCACTATCATCAATCTCCAAAGAAAAGTATGCTTTTGGGCACCTGTTATTTATTCTGTATCTTCTGCAGAAGGGAAGCCACCACCTTGCGAACTCAAAAGCTTTTCTCATACCATACAAGGTAATGGGGGAACAGCCATCATCTGAAAGATACACATGAAGCTTCTCTTGAGGATAATCGAGTGCCATGGATGATAAAACAGTATTCATCACATCTAAAGTGGGTTCCTTAATTGGATCAGCAGTGCATATGAACACATCAACAGCAGGGAGCTTGTCATCCTCTGGCAATCTTTCTGGAAAGACACGTCGTGAAACCGGACGCCAACGATAAGCTTGGCCAAGGAACCAAATGAAGGAGAGAATGATTTCTGAAGCAAAAACAAGGAGCCATGGCAACAAATTGCTTCCCCTGTTTTCTGGATTTTGAAAAAGAAACCTCACCCTGTAATAGAACAAGAAGCCTAAAGCTGTGGAATGAAGGAGCATGTGTAACCTATTGATGATAAGCAACGGCTTTTGGACATGGCATGTATTGAAAGGAAGAGTTCCTTGACTTGCCTCCATTTCTTCCTAGATGATAACATAACCTTGTAGTTACTTGATGTTTCTAAAATCACTGTACTCTATTATATTACTTCTGTAGCCGATTTGTTTGAAAAAATAGTGTAGCAAGAATTTAACTTTGAGACGTCTATTCTGACCATTCACCAAATAAATATCACAAGGCACTAGCAAGAATTTATTAACCAACACAGTATATGCTTGTTACCTAAAACAGTAAAGAAAACAAAAACAAATTAATTGGCAGAATGAAGGATATCTATACCACATAACTGTTTTTCCCATTGGTATAGGATAATCATGTCTTGTACAACAAAAACATAAAACGCAAGTAAAATTACATTCTTACTCCCCACCAGAATAATCATGTTTTTTTTACAGTGGTACCACAATTTAAAAAGCCTAGAATCTATGACAATATTTTTAACCAAAAACTCCTTAATTAACATTGAGTACGTCAGCACGTCACAGTTTCAAACAATCAGGTAGAAATGGAAGAATAGATAGGATAAGCTTATCCTTTCTCAAGATTCTGTATAGATTTATCTTCTCTCTTACATCATACTATTACTCACCAGTCATCACTTGCTTATGTTGTAGTGCTTACTGGCTGCAAAACTTCTGGAGTTACAAGATGCAAGCTATACTGAGTCGAGAAGCAGCTTGTGCTAAAAAGTGACAGATGAAAACTCTTCTTCCATGGTCCAGATCAAACACTCAAATACACAAAGCAAGATAAATGATTTGAGATTGATACAGACCTCATACATCTAAAAGATGATACTATGCAGTTTAAAATGTTAGTCTGGTAGTATATAAATAGAGAGCAATTATATTAAAGAAAATCATATGATACAGACACATGCAACAGAGCAAACCTTACATTACAGTTTCATTACACATAGGTATATCTGAAATCCAAACAGATCTGAACTCACCAGCAAAACACCTTCATCCTCACTAATTATTCTCATCTCACTATATATTTCTCCCTCATCTCTTATTCACTACTCCCCTCTCACTCGTAATTTTCTGCTGGAGAAGAGAGGCAGGAGAAAATCCTCTCGCATAGTTAAGCATGTCTATTAGAATGGGCAGACTGAAATGCAATTAACGCACAATTTTCAGTATACATGATGAGTTGATGACTACTGAAACTATACTAAATATTGGGATCTCACTACTACCAAGAACTAGAATTTCAACTTCACACCTCCTCATGAGATAAGGAGTTAAGAGTTCCACGTCAGATAATATATGACCAGAACATACTCAATTTAAGGGCTTAAGTGATAAAAAAGAAAAGTTTAAAGAGTAAAATTAAGAAATGCATACATTTCAAAGAGGAAAATATATTATACACTGATTTTAAAGATAGAACCAGTAACTCAGAATGTAGGCATAAATGAGCATCTCACATTTCCATTACCGGTTTTTGGAGCGCTTGCATTCTCCTTCACCACTTGCAACTTAGATCTGAGATTCTCAGATTTCCATTACTAATTTTCAGAGCATTTGCATTCTTCATCACCAGTTGCATGTTAGATCCAATATCTCTAGTTTCATTGTCTAAAATTTTATGATCATCTAATTCTGAATTTCTCTTGGTTCCTGATATTGTGCCCTCTTCCACGTATTTAAAATAACAAATATTCACTATTTTACAAGAAGTGTTAGGTTCAGCAGCAGCTTGCTCCTGTTTTCGATTCAGCAGTTTTTGATACACTATACTGCACAACGAGTGAATCACCACCCCTGTATCCAGCAAAGGAGCTGATCTGAGAAGAACCATTCACCCCACAATTTAAGACGTTTACATCATGACACCCTTCATTATCTGAATTAGAATCAGAAGGAAAACCAATTTCATGAGCCATCATAGTTGCATTTGCAGCATATTGCCCAGCCTAATCAATTCTGAAGATACTGTGATTGTTTTTGCTCCTGTGTTGATAATCAAGTTGGCTGCTATCAAGAGATGCACTAGCAGACTAGCTGTTAATCTCACTCCAGTTTCTCAAACCTCATCTAATAATAGTAAAAATCACTAACCAGCTTATAAGACAATTCAGTGCCAGACTATAGCATATAATACAGCAGTTGAATACAAGTTAATTCATCAAAACCATGCTTTATGTTCATTTATACTAGTAATAATTAAAAACTAAAAAGTGAACAGACCTTGTAAAACCGACAAGTTGAAAAGGAGAAATAACATTTCAGGATGTAAGAAGAAAAAAAACAACAATTTTTGAAAATTTAAGTTATTTCACTAAAGCAATAATAGAGAGGTACACAATTTTTATAAGTGGCCTTAGAATAGATTTTCAAGAGAGAGTAACAGAAGAGTTCTAGCTAAGAACTCCTTCAATTAACAAAATCTAACTACCTAACAGTTGTGCTAATACTTCACTTAACTATCCGTAACTACATAAACTGGGACTCTAGAACCATGCAGTGGCAGTGTTCTGAGCATGGCACATGATAATTCCATTCCACCAGGGGTGGTTTAAGCTATTTGATTCGGATACATTATGACGTACTCGCGAAGTCTCTCAACTTTTTGTCTCATGGAATCAATAATTGCTTCAGCTTCATCGCTCATCTGTTTTGGCAAAAAAACTTTCAAGAAATCAAACCACTCACCTAAACTTATCTTATTCAAATCCGGCCAATTCTCATTCTTGATCAAATTCTCATTATCTTTCTCATCACAGATGTCTTTACCATCTCCATCATCAACACACTCTTCCTGTAACTTCTTCTTTCCCTTAGCACCACCCCTCCTTTTCTTTTTCTCCACATCCACCACCCCATCCACCAAGCTTGACTTTTCCCCAATCACAATCCCTTTATTCTTCGAATTACGCGTCACCCTTACATTTTTCGGTTCCTCCACCTTTTCTTCCCCAACATCCAAATCCCCAACACTTGATTCAGAAATCTCAATCACCTTTGGCTTATTCTTCAAATTCCTAGTCACCCTTGCATTTTTCGGTTCCTCCACCTTCTCCTCTTCCACAGCATCCAAATCCACAACACTTGATTCAGAAATCTCGATCACCTTCTCCTTATTCTTCAAATTCCTAGTCACCCTTGCATTTTTCGGTTCCTCCACCTTCTCTTCCCCAACACTTGATTCAGAAACCTCGATCACCTTCTGCTTATTCTTTAAATTCCTTGTCACCCTTGCATTTTTCGGTTTCTCCACCTTCTCTTCCCCGACATCCAAATCTCCAAAACTTGATTCAGAAATCTCGATCACCTTCCGCTTATTCTTCAAATTCCTCGTCACCCTTGCATTCTTCCGTTCTTCCACAACATCCAAATCCACAATACTCGATTCAGAAATCCCAACCACATTCTTCTTATTCTTCCCATTCCGCGTCACCCTCGCATTCTTCAACTCTTCCACTTTTTCTTCTTGAGCTTCCGAATCCTCAAAACTCAAACCACTAAATGTCACTGTCTTCTGCTTACTCTTCAAATTCCCTGCGGCACGCGAGTTCTTCTTCGGCTCTTCCACCTTTTCTTCCATAGCATCCAAATTCCCATTCCGCACACTCCTTGTATTTCGAGTAACCCTAGTTGGTTCCGGTTGAACCACATTCCCAGATTCATTTTCATCAATGCTATGGAGAGGAACCCTAGAATTGACACTTTTAGTACTATTATTATTTTTACCTCTTTTACCCCGCATTGGTTTCTCTTCTACTTGAGTAGCTGTAGCATTGTTTGGGGGTTTAATGAAATTAACGAGAATAGAAGTAGCTTCACCGATCTTAACAGTGGAGCCATCACGGAGGTGAAAAGGAGTATTGGGAGGAAGCGTTGCATCGTCCAAAACGGTGCCGTTTGAGGAATCTAGGTCAAGGATTACCCAACTACCAGAATCGATTTGGATAGAGAGGTGTTTGGTGGAAATACTTGGATCCTTGATCTGAAGATTGTTGCCGCGAACGAGACGGCCAATTCTGACGGTGGAACCGGGTTGGAATTGGAGGGTATCACCTTTGCGAGGACCGTTGAGGATTTGAAGTTCGAGAGTGGGAGCAACTTGTTCCATTTGAGAGAGAGAGAGAGAGAGAGAGTGTGTGTGTGTTTGCAAAAGGGAGGATGAGGTGATGATGAGTGTTGCTGTTGCTTTCAAATTTTTTTTTGAATTTTCACATTCCCTCTATGTTACGTTGAGCTAAATCATTTAACAGTAGTTTTTTTTCTTCTTTGGTGTATTTTACTTTTCAGAATCATAATAATCCTTTTCCTTTTTATTTTGTTTTTCTTTTATAGTTATATTACATTCAAGATGTGAATTCTAAAATGTTGACTATCTATTTAAATATAAAATTAAAATTAAATATATTCTAATAAAAAATACGTAGAAACCAACTTCAAGCGCATAAAAGTTTTGAAAAATAAATTAAAATAAACTTTATTTTTATGAAAAATATTTTTACACCTTTTTAATAAAATTTATCAATATTAAATATAAATATAAATCTCAATCTAAAAAAAAATTTAATTATTATTTTATTAATTAGTATTTTATGGTGTAGTTTATTTTAATACTTGCAATTTTATCAAATTATATTATATTATTATTTTAAGAATTAATATATAATGCAATTTGATTGAATGTAATGGATAAAAGAATTTACATTTCCCCAGTGTTTTGGAGTCACCGATGGAATCCACACTTCTTATCAACCTCACAATCCCCTAAGGGCGTGAAGAGTGGTCTCAATGAATCCTGGGCAATCAGAGAAGTATTGTTCCTTGAGATTCCTTTGATGAAGCCAATGGTATGTGATCATGTTGTTATGCTTTATCATCCAAATAAAGAATCTGATTCATTCAAGGACTTTCAACTTCCAGATGAGGGACCACGTACCAATTCCAAGCTTCTACTGTAATTGGTTGTGGTCATGCATCTTTACCTAATTCCCTAACCTTAAACAATATTTTGCATGCACCGAAACTTATCAAAAACCTTGTTTCTGTCAGAAAATTTACAATCGATAATGATGTTTCTGTTGAATTTGATTATCTCGGTTTTTATGTAAAGGATTTTCAGACAGGAACGCTTTTAATGAGATGTAATAGTTCTGGCGACCTCTACCCTATTCCCACAAGACCAAACACAACAACACTACCACCATCCGCCTTTGCTGCTTCATCTAACGAGTTATGGCATAGTCGTTTAGGACATCCAGGAGCTCCTATCTTAAATTCTCTTCATCGAAACAAACTTTTGCTATGTAACAAGTTTCGAAATGATTTCTTTTGTCACTCTTGTCCCCTTGGGAAACAAATAAAATTGCCCTTTGTTGCGGTGAAAATTGGATATCAAGCTATTAATTAACTTGAATCTCATTTCTTTTTACAACCGGACTTTATTTTATCCAAAGGAAAGGTCTAAAGGGAGAAAAACCTTTTTCGCGATGTAACGACAACGCTTAAGAGATTCGGGGACCGGGGGTTGGTTATACATAGGGAAGGTGTTAGCACCCTAAATATCTGTAGTACTCTACAGGAACCTTTTGTTTGATTGCTTGCTAAGTTTGTGAAAATGTACTGTGGATTGGGAAAAGATATGAGTTGAAACCTAAAGTTATATATACTAAGTTTGCTCGCAAAGACGTCGCATCTTCTGCCTACGTATCCTAACTAGGATAGAATCAGAACAATTGTAGTTCACCTCACAAGGGATAAAGAACACTTGATTATGACCAAGGTTCAAAAGGGAAGAAACATGACAATGTTTGTGTGGAGCCTGACAAAACTCCCTAGTCTAAGTTGTAATATTCAAGAGGGGAAGTAAGAAATCATGATGATGATTCTTACACAGAGTTGACGAACTCTTTCTTAGGGTTCTAGTTGAAGAACACTCCTAGTACAGGTGGGTCTCTTATACTCAAAGCAAAGTCTAATGGCTTCTAAGCTAGGGTTAAAGTGACTTAACAAAGTCAAGGGAGGGTGAATGAATTATCCATGATATGAAATTACACATTAAGAGGAACACAATGAAAAAAACGGGTGAAAAACGATAAAAAAATGAGGGAGATACAATTTTTTGAAGTTTGAATGAAAAAATGAAAAAAATGCCAAAAGAGTTGCCCTCCTCAGGGGTCGAACTCAAGATCATGGCTTGAAAGGCGCATTTTGGCAAGTGAGGCTTACCACTGGGGTGGCTATACATCCATTGATTGATGACACCCCTTTAATTAATAAGGGTGAAATGACTTGATTTCTGGGCAAAACAAAACACTCACAAGGTGATTTACGTTTTAACGCGTAACTTTTCCGTCGCTCAACCAAATGTCACAAAATTTATATGTAACTGGCCTATAAAAACATGAGGAGCATGATGGTGGTGTTATTTTTCTGAAATTCCTCTCCTAGTGAAAAACACGATGGCAGGTTCATTTATGGTGTTATGTGATGCATTTTGATGTGAGCAACTTTATTCAATTATTTTCAACCCAAACCAAACACACACACACAGACCACATAAGTGATGATGGATGATTCTATGCAAAGAAAATAGTGTAGGTCATGCTGTGATGATCAATGACATGTTGAGTGGCAACTTGTGTTAAAAATGCATTTTGAAAGGAGCCACCTGTAACAGCTAGTTTTAGTACAAAAGAATCATGTCAACAGTTCACAAATAATGTGTATGAAGTGTTAGGATAATGGTTTTGAGGAAAAACATTCTTATGCAAAAAGTGGCATATGAGCTGCTTGATGTTCTTGAAGAAGTGCATTGGAAGTATGATGCTTGTTCCAAATCTTTTTCAATCAAAACTAAGTCTGCTAACAGTTCATATACATGATGAGAAATGATTTTATCCCTCAAAGTATGCTTAATGCAAACGGGTTTTAAAAATGGTATGTCATGTAGTGATTTCATGAAAAATGTACTTTGAAAAGAGGCAATCTCATAACAGCCAGTTTTGAAGTAGAAAATCTATGTCAACAGCTCACAAATGATAAATGTAAAGCATCTCAATATGAATTTGGTGCAACATAAGATTGTGTTAAAATCTAGCATGTCAGTTGCTTGTATGATGTTTTTTGAATAAAATGCATCATGAGGTGTGAAACTTGTTACAGTTTGTTTTGATACCAAATGATTATGCAAACATCTCATAAATGATCAAAGTAAGGTGTTTCAAAAGTGTTTTTGGTGTAAAACAAACTTTATGTGAAAAAGGTTTATGAGTTGCTTGATGAGTATTGACATGAAAATATGAAACTCATCCTTTATGTAAATTTGGCAAGGTGGATCCCTCATACAACTTTCAAACATGAAAACACATGTATTCAATTATTAAAAATCAGCTTTCAATGCTTATGCTCAAAATGACCTTTCAACATGCTTTGGTTTTTGAAAACAGTATTGACAAGCAAGCAAGTAATGTTCATAACATAAGCAAAGATAACAGGGCTGCTAGCATACTGATTTTGACAGGGGTTGCTCAAATTCGTGGTTTGATGAAATGTAAAGTGAAAACATGATGCAACAGTATTAATGCACCAAACAGGACTCTTGAAGGGCTGCTACTTATATGCCAACATGCAGAAAGTTTTAACAAACCAACATAATTATAAATCCTCAGCATATCAGTTCAGTCTCTAAAGTCAAGCAGGTTAGGTTCACATGATTCATGAACAAGTTACCACTGGCAAGGCTGAGTTGCCTAACTCAAACCTTAAAGGCAGATGAAATTTGAAACAAAACTTCAACTCTTTTGCAAACTTGGTAAAACAATCAAAACAACTTAAACTAACAGTCATAATGTATAACCAAATGAATCTCAAGTGGTTGAATTAAAAGTTGTGAAAATTTTAAAAATGTGTTGTACATTGAATTCCAACAGAGATACTTGCTTAAAAAACTTTCAAATGAAAATTGGTTTTGCAATTGGGCCATGGCAATGTTTTTGTGACAGAGGTAAATCACTTGGTAATCATGCTTTAAAGACACCAACAATCATATGACTGAGTACTAAACAACAGCACACCATTGAATGCACACATAAATTTTACTCAAAAATCCAAGTTGGTTCAAACATGATCCAAACAGACCTGTCCTCTTGGAGTGTCCTAGCAGTCTCAAAATATTTCAGACAAACAAAAACAACTTGCATACCATGTTGAGGTCTCACTTGTGAATCAAGACCTATAACTAAACCTAACATGAGCATCACAGCTGAATCTAAACAGAAGCAGCAACATACCTTAATGAGAGTGATGAATGCCAACTCAAGTGCTTCATATGACATTTACAACATAAGTGATTATATTCACAAACTCACAAACTCTAACAGCCAGTTTTTTTAAAGAATGACTATGATAGTCTCCAAACCACACACATAGTAAACAAGATAACATGGTCTTGCAAATAGTATTTAACAAACTCAACACACCATAATCAAAAGTTTAGCAAGAACCAGCTCAACACTTATGCTAATATTCATACCAATCTGTCATTCATTAAAAATCACATATCATGAAAATCAACAAATGTTCATAGCTCCAAAATTCACAAAATGCCCAAAATGCAAGAAACATGAAAGAGTGGTGCAAGAGCCAATGTGTACAAGTTACATACCTCTTGTAGACCTTGTTGAACAAACTAGAATAACCAAGAAAACCAGAGAACCTTAATCCACTTCCTTGCCTTGAATCCTTTCTTCACTTTTAAGCAAAATGCACACTTTAAGACAGTTGAAGAAATATGCTTTTCCAATGGTCTCCAACACTTTATACAACTGAGAAATGATGTAGGTGAGGTGTATGAATGATTAAAACCTCAAGGAAGTGCTTAGAACAAGACTTGGTGAAATTTGTAGCTTTTGGTCAAAGTAACTTGGTGAACAAGTTAACTTTTTGATTTGTGAAATTTTTGGGTGGTTTAATGGTCTAGACACCTCCTATACCATATTTGTAGAGTGTTTGGGTGGCTGTTGGGGTGTTGGAATATAGAGAAATGATTTTGGCAGCCCTTGTGCCAAGACATATTTTTGGTGATTTTGTGAAAAGTGAGATTTGTGATTTTGA